ATATAAAGATTAATTGAAAACACCACCCAAATTAACATTTGGTTATTAAAATTAAAAATTGTATTCGAGAAAATTATATAGGCTTACGTTTCTATGGCACCACAATACCTTCATCACCATCAGCAGAAAAGAATGGGATAATAATCGGATTATATCGAAAACCACTATATCAGATTCGATACGTGGATCCATTAGTAAATATATTATCCACGAGGGTTAAAGTGCTCTCAGTTAGGCCTCTCTATTTGGTATTGATTGTTGGAATAAACTGAGTATCCAGAAATGCATAATCACACATGTGTGAACAGTCCCGTCCTTAAACACTTTATAAGCGAGGATAGATTCAAGTTCTGTTGAATACTCTACATTACACATCAAGCAGAAGCTTCCGATCCAGAAATTATTAATATAACGTTATGTTGTTTCAATTTAATTAGCTATTGTATTTACCTTAGAATGATAAAAGGAATATACATTGACCTTCATTCCCCACCCATGTGCTATCTGGTAGCTAGAACGACGACATAAAGAGAAACATGCGAGTATGTGAAAGACAGACAAGGGAACTTTTGGAAACCAAAATCGCGGTAATGCCAACTATTATTGTAAATATGGTGTAAACGTTTTGTTCATGCTTCTGTTGTTGTGGTATAACGTGAGTTTACACGAGTACTTGGCGCGCTAGTCTAAATGAGTAACTACAAGTATTTAAAAAAAATGAAATAAGTATCACCATCATCAATGGAGGTTCTGTCGCACAATTTTCCAATCAAGATTTAAGTTAGAGCCCATAGTCAGCGCTGAATGACGATATTGAATGGTCAACGAATGGTCATCATATCGACTCATAAGACTCATCTAAAGATGTTTCATTATTATATAAATTAATTTATTTAAGTTAATGCCCAGTAGTTTGCAGTTTAATCAATCTTTTCCTCTCCTGTTTCCTGTGTTTCTCTCTTCTTATTTCCTTCCATTTCAATTAATACCACGAGAATGACTACCAATTGAAATCCGACAGTGAAGTCGAAGTTGTTTGCAATAGCAATGTCCCTACCATATGATGCAATGTCAGGCATACATGTACTATTTTGTGTTGTCTTTTGTATGTAATAATTTCATTATTTTGGCGGATAATGGCTAAGATGGATCTAGCCGCAAATTTTATTGAATGGAAATATAATTAAAACATCTTCAATAACTCAGACATTAAAATATATTAATACGTTAACATCAATTAACTCATACTAAAAACCCTTATATATTTATTACAGATTTATTGTCACAGTAACTCAAACTTTATGTTGATTATCTGTTACAAATGACAAAATTAAAGATAAAATGACAAATACTTTTAAAATATGACTATTTTCATATAAATAAAACTATTTTCATATAAAACTGTACATCCTTTCAAAACTGCAATTTCACCTACAAAATACTTATGGATGTAAAGTTAATAAACTTTTTATTTTTTAAATTCAAATTGCTTATTTTGTATAATTTGATTAGATGTTCCTAAACAAGTAACACATAAAAATATTGAATATTGCTACTATATTTCATACAAATACCCTTCAATTCCCTTCTAATGTTAAGCATTTCGTTTTAGCAAAATGTCTGTAAACCAGTCAAATAACGATGTTTTATTTGATATTGATAAGTTATGTAAAATTTTTAAATTAATAATTCAATTAATTGAATATCTGATGGCTTAACACAGACATGATACTGTACTACATATTATCTTTAATTTATTCAACAAATAATGATTACAGTTTGATGAATATAATCCACTGAAGCTCAAAATCTTTGGAGGGAATGATATGACTAAATTGCATAATTGTTTGTGGAAATAGAATGTAGGAATGTAAACATTATTGTTATTATTTACATTATTTGTTGGATATTTTATTTTCACATGTGATGTGATGGTCTTTGGGTACGAAAATAAAGAAAACCACAATGTGCAACCTCCTCCACGTTCTGGGGGAGTGCAGTGGCATCTAATTCTGCAATATCAAATTTCATTCTAAAATCAATCATATCCCCTACTAGATATCCATTTATAATGCCTGGATAGAGAGAAACACATTATATTTTCATTGCGGATTTTTTGAGCTCAGTACGGACTCCAAAAGTATGCATTTTCTTTTAGTTTTAAGGCGTATGCGGATTTTATAAGTCCGCAATGACGATAAAACGTGTTGAGAGAAAACGAAAAATACATTTCCTAAAAACACATTAGTGTGAACACTATAACTACCAAAGCCTGACATCTTACTGTCTTAACAAGATGCTTCCACAGTTATTAGAGGTCGCATCCTTGTCGACATGTCAATTGCACTATGCAACTCAATTCCAACTCAGCAATGTTTATTGCTGAGTTTATCTAGCCACACATCATCTTGATTTTTCCCCCTTATCTTTCCTATTTTACATTGTGATACACATATAGGTCATGACAATATGCGCTTCCACAGTTATTATTATAATGTAACCAAAATCAACAAGTTATCTATGTTATTAAATTAAAATATATTTTTAAGAACATAAAAAGAACTCACCAGACCATCTGTGTTTACCATACTTGGACCCAATGCTGTCTCTTATACACATCTAGATGTGTATAAGAGACAGGTACTACATATTATCTTTAACTGTAATTCAACAAATAATGATTGTAGTTTGATGAATATAATCCACTGAAGCTCATAATCTTTGGAGGGAATGATATGACTAAATTGCATAATTGTTTGTGGAAATAAAATGTAGGAATGTAAACATTATTGTTATTATTTACATTATTTGTTGGATATTTTATTTTCACATGTGATGTGATGGTCTTTGGGTACGAAAATAAAGAAAACCACAATGTGCAACCTCCTCCACGTTCTGGGGGAGCGCAGTGCATCTAATTCTGCAATATCTAATTTCATTCTAAAATCAATCATATTCCCTAATAGATATCCATTTATAATGCCTGGATAGACTCGAGAAAACGAAAAATACATTTCCTAAAAACACATTAGTATGAACACTATAACTATCAAAGCCTGACATCTTAACAAAATGCTTCCACAGTTATTAGAGGTCTACTGGTAATATTGCACTGATTTTGGTCATGAGTTGGTTCAGCAATATCAACTAATGAAAAGTTGCAAATCTCTACCATTTTATCAAATTACTCCTTGAATAGCACTGAACATGGATGCCATAAACAGAGGCAAGACTATGTTGTCAATCTGTGATGTAAATGCTTCCAAGAGACTAGTGAGGACCACAACTATCGTTACTGCCATCCAAGTGTATGAACTTGCGTTAATCATGCTACCAAGGCAGTAGCATGCTACAAGCTGGGTTACAATGGCTGCAAGCGTTCCTTCAATCGTCTTTACAGTTTCAACTGCAAAAATAAATAACATTAAACATCCTTTCTGAGCTTGTTATCAACTGCCCCTGTGAAACATGGGGCACTATGCAACTCAATTAACATCTTAACGAGATTTGATTGACAGATAAACCGACTAATCAGCGAGCGTCATTTTGGCCACGTGATCAAAAACTTTTTCTCGGACATTTTAATTTCCTTAGACAGCTGGTTTAAACACGAAACATACGTGAGCCTAGGCCTAGATGTCTATGCTTGGTTATAGATACCCAGATTTACACGAGCAGTGCGCATTAGTGACTTGGCCTTTGCTGACAACAAGGTTGACTGAATGTGACTTTTCCCTTTTCCTTTGGGAGCGAAATACAGAGTCTTTTACAACAATTTCCCCGGCATGTTACATGAAATAGATTAACACTGTGAATATATGATTCATTTGCATACCGCCTACCCTGAATTCTCTTTCTTAAAGAAGGTTGATAGCAAAGAAAATCTTCGCCAAATCGGTAAGTCTAGCCTCCATTGTCTAAGGTTTTCGTGACTTTGTCGCATCCTTGTCGACATGTCAATTGCACTAAGCAACTCAATTCCAACTCAGCAATGTTTATTGCTGAGTTTATCTAGCCACACATCATTTTGATTTTTTTCCCCTTATCTTTCCTATTTTACATTGTGATACGCATATAGGTCATGACAATATGCGCTTCCACCATTATTATTATAATGTAAACAAAATCAGCAAGTTATCTATGTTATTAAATTAAAATATATTTTTTAAGAGCATAAAAAGAACTCACCAGACCATCTGTGTTTACCATACTTGGACCCAATGACTGCTGCGGCAGTGTCTCCAACACCCAATGAAATGACACCACTGTACAGTACCAAGCCTGGACAAAAGAACATTCTTTTTTATAATATCCATAGAAGGCCCAAACTGATATTCAGAGGCCCTCTTAAATAAATATAACTAAGTTGACATTTGTGCTGGAAATATTAGTGATACTATACCTGATGTTGGATTGACATGATCGTAGAGCCAGACAGGTAGCGAGAACCCCAACAGTAAATAGATGTGTGTCAGAATAACAACACCAGAGTCCCGCTCATCTATGAAAACTGAAAAAGCTTCATGAATGATTTTTCCAAATGGTTCCACTCGGAACACCCGTACTATCTGCAAGAAAAAATTATAAGTGTATTTTATCAGCGGAATAAATTCATTTTATTTTATTTATTTTTATTGCATTTTATCGTTTAATTATACCTAAAAATATCTGTCATTAAACATGGAAAACAATCAAAATAATTTTGTCTGTCACTAACCTCAATAATAAGGAAGATGAATAAAGCCCCAGCAGATGCAAGATAGATGAGTTTTAGGTCCAAAAAGACGCCAGGCACATAAATGGCTACCGCTATCAGGTGGAAGTATTTGCGGACCACTGTCGATGATGATTCAGTTTTGTACACAATTAGTGTAGCAACTGTAACCAAAACCACCCATGATGCAATCAACCAGATCTGTAAGTATTATTTAAAAACTATATTTATGAGATATTATGTAGTCTGATAAAAAAGTTTTACATCATCTTGATGCCAAATCCCATTACTGTTATGTTGTCTAGCTCTTTCTTACCCTAATTTTAGTTTCAAAGATAAAGTTGAAGCCCCAAATGATGACAAATTCTCCAAGCAAAAATGACAACATTGGAAAAAGTATTAAACTGACGACACCGACTGTTACTCCATAGAAGACACATGTCCGTTTTCTTGACCAAGGTGATCTGAAAAGATATCAATTCTATTGGTTTATATATATTATATTATAATTATACTGATGAAATTAAAGATATATAATTATGGGAAGCTTTCTGTGGATAACAGAAACATTAACTTAAACCTTATTACCAAGCATGCATCTTGATAGCTCGGCCCACTTTTTACCTATATTTAAAAGGTACAATAGTCCCAAAAATCTAGGTTATAAACAACATAAAAAAAACATTGAATAAATAAATTACGCATCGCACTGGCAAATTTCACAACGGGTGAATCAATTTAGATGCAAGGTTTTCAATCAACTACTATTAAGTTTTGCTGGCATACAGTTCATATGTACATAGTACAGTACTACCTGTCATACAACTTACGTATCCAAATTCTTTCCTGATTTCTTAGTTTTGCCAACATCTTTTGAAATCATCAAAACAGGTGCAAGGCATATGCATAAGATTAATATGCCATTTATCAAAACCTAATAAAAATATAAAATATTATAGAAGTCCATTAAATCTTAATCCTATAATGTATTTGACTAACATAACAATCAATATGACGATTTTTATAGTTTTTTTTGTTTCAATTACAGATTTGCACACTTCACACTGTAATTTCTTCCACATTCAACATCAATAACAGTAGCCTGCCATTGCCAATAAAATTAACAGAATACCTGATGCTCTAAATGCAGATGGTCCAGAGTCAATCTATTACTGATTTTGACTGTCACAGTTACTAATTTCACTACTAAGGCCGACTGCCCCTACTTTAAGTCTCATTGCAATGCTTTACAGTAAATTAATCTACAGCACTCCATTTTACTTACCTGTAAGCAGGCATACAGTGGATTCATTTCCAATGACAGCAACACATGGTAACAGCCATCAAGTGTTAGGAAGCTTAATGCCTGGGATACAACCATGGCCTCTCCAATAGTAAAGCTATGTGGCATGAAATGTATCAGGCCTTCAAAGTAGACACATCCTAAAAACGAATGAATATTGTCATATTGCAATAGCACAAAAAAATTATCTGAAAAACCATCATGATTCATCATATTCATCAACTATTGTCGGTCCACTGCTGGACGAAAGCCTCAGCATGTTGACAAGAGACAATGCTGTCTCTTACTGTGTTGCGCCAGTTCGCTCTTCCTCACCTGTCCATCTTTTACGCTGTCTGCCCCTGTTTCTTTTGCCATTCATGGGTAACCATTCTGTTAACTGCTGTTGTCCATCTGTTGTCTGACATTCTGCTAACATGTCCTGCCCACTTCCATTTTTTTAAATTATTTCCATTATGTCTTGAAATTATGTTTGAATCAACTTATTTGTATTTCTGTCTCTGTATGTGATACCTAACATGCCTATTTCCATATCGTGTTGTGCTGTGGCTAGACTTTTCTTCATTTTAGTTGTAAATGTACCGTAACTAATGTATGTTACTTTGAATAAAATACAATTATGTAGTTCAAAATTTGTTTTACCTACGAATAAACTGGCAAAGTAAATCCGCTTCCCCTCCCAGATAAAAACACACAGCAAACAGAATGCATACAAAGTGTTAGAAACATATCTTTTAAAAACAGATGACGTCCAGTTATAACTGAAAACCAATGATGTCATTATTATTGACAACAACAAACTTGCTATCTGGTAATCTTGATATATTGCGGTTGAATCTTGAAGAGTTCTTTTTGCTGCTAAAAATGAAACAGGAATCAGCATTGCACCAATCACAATCCCTGAATTCCGCTCTTTTCTATAATAAACACATTTACATAGCATTGAAAGTAAGTTTACATTGTTGAGTATTCAAATTGATTGATTGGCTGATTGATCTATTCATTCTGTTTATTGAGCATGCTACTGTTACATCTTTTAATTGGCAGAATTATTGTTGTTGGATATGAATGAAAAGAATTGAGATAAGAAAGCCAATTAATAAATTCGGATTTGTTGGATGATTAACCTATATAAGTAGGCCTTCTGCAGCTGGAGCATTGAAGTGATAGTGATGCATATTTCAGGATATTGATATTTCTAGCAGCATAGCTGAATGGACATGTGCCAAAATGATTGCATTACTAAAACGTCTGCTGGAGCCAGCAAGTAAAAAATGCTTTTTAAACCTACACATTGCAGAAGATTGAATACCTACCTAAAGGCCCATCCTGTAGACTGCAATAACTTTTCTTGACTTGTTATGCACTGAGCCACACCTGCCAAAACCAAACCTGCTGAAGACAAATTTAGATATCATATTAAGTTCTTTACAATATAGAATAATGCAACTCCACATAGAAACAAGAGACATTTATTCCTAAAGATGGCCCACATTCATTTCTGAATTACCTAAAACGATTGGAACATCAAGAATCCTTATTATTGAGATATATTTACTCTTATCTACTTTACTTATTATAGGGTAATGAGTGCATATATTAACTATTACAATAATTTATATCAGGGTCAAATGGGATATGTGTGGATATAAAATTGTTCATTTTGATTAATCATTTAGAGAGGAGATGTGAAAACTCTCCAGGTCCTTGTAAACATGATTGATTGCTTAATTGATTGATTGACTGATTGATGGATTTGATTCAATGTTTGATGTTAATTAAGTAACTAAACTCTGATAGGTCAACATAATGTTTTGAGGGTTTTCCTTATGATCAAATACAAGTCAAATACAGCATGACCAAACACTAAAAAGCATTAATAACAAATCATTTACAGAATATCATTATTAAAATTAAATAAATAATAAATAAATATAATATACCAGCAAGTAAAAGGATAGTCAAATGTTTCTCTTCCTCAATCAGCAAAATAAATATGCTCAGGCAGATAATAAGTATTTCTTTGACAGCTAATGACATTGTAGCTACGCCTGAGAAAGAAACAAATGTAAATTATATTGATAATAATAATAATAATAATATGCAGATTTTTTTATATTGCGCTTTATACAACTAAGTCTCAGAGCGCTTTTCCATATTATTACCCCAGTCAGTGGAATGATGCCTATGGGGGAAATTCCATAGTTTTCTGCATGAAATATATCAGCACATTTTGCACTCAAACCTCCTTAGGTACCCACTTATACTCCTAGGTGGAGAGAAGCAATGCAGATAAAGAGCCTTGCTCAGGGACACAAGCGAAATGCACAATGAGGGATTGAAACCCCAACCTCGAGGTTGGGAAACCCAACCGTTTCTGCTGCGCCAAACCACTTCCACCATATTCATGAAGCTATCCTTGAAATTATCATCTAGATTTACATTTTGATTACAGAGAGGATAAAATAATTCTCCCATCTATATTTGTTGTCATAACTTTGAAAATAAGTTTGATCAATTCAGTCCCATGCATCTCCATTTATTCAGAGGAAATAAATGACAAACAGTAGAGTAGGACCAAGGAGGTATAAAATATTTTATACCTCCTCCTTGGTAGGACAGTGCATGGAAATTTTTTATACTTATTATAAGTTATACAGTAGTAGCTAAGACAACTATA